GTTCAAGTCCTGGACCCAGTGGCTTAAACTCATGCCAGGCGCATGTGCATGCATGCCCAAGATCTGAGAGGAGAATGGAGGAGAAGGGATTGTGGCGTGGCCATCTCCCCTGGAGGGTGATTTCTCGCTTTCTATCTCTCTGTCTCTCTGGCGAGTGCATGCGCCCTGTAGCAAAAACCTCTCAAAAAATAAATAAATAAATAAGGTAGTGATGTCTACTTTATATATTTGATCATAACTCTACCAATTTAATTAGAATTCCCTGTATCCAAAACATTGCCTTTGACTTATTGAAAGACATTTTAGTGTGGTTTATATATACTATCAAACAAAGAATATGTAACACTTTAAAAAATAAATAAATAGAGATCAGAAGATAGTTGGACCCAGCAGTTAGCGTAATGGCTATGTCGCTGGACTCCCACGTAGTCGACCGCGGTTCGTGTCCCGGGCCCGGTGGCTTAAAACTCACGCTGGGCGCGTGTGCGCACGTGCCCAAGATCCCGAGAGGAGAATGGAGGAGAAGGGATTGCGGCGTGACCATCCCCCCTGGGGGGTGATTTCTCGCTTTCTGTCTCTATGTCTCTCTCTGTCTGTCTGGCGAGCGCACGCGCCCTACAGTGAAAATCTCTCCAAAAAAAAAAAAAAAGAAGAAAGCATAATGGTTACATTGCTGGACTCCCATGTAGCTGACCTTGGTTCAAGTCCCAAACCAGGTGGCTTAAAACTCATGCTGGGCATCTGCATGTGTGCCTGCCTAAAATCCCAAGAGGAGAAAGGAGGACAAGGGATTGCACTGTGGTCATCGCCGCTGGGGAGTGATTTATTCATTTCTGTCTCTGTCTCTCTGGCAAGTGCACACACCCTATTAAAAAAATAAAAAATAAAAACAAAACAAAAACAACCTCAAAAAATTAATTGATTGATTAATTAAAATAAATTTTAAAATCCATGCAAAGGAATCAGCAGATGGCATAATGGTTATGTCACTGGATTCTCACGTGACCAACTGTAGTATAAGTCCCACACCTGTAGGCTAGAAACGCTGGGCACATGTGCATGTGTGTTCAAAATCTCAGGGGAGAACAGAGAAGAGACTGTGTTATGGCCATCTCAGTTTCTATCTCTCTGTCTCTCCGGCAAGCATACACAACCTACAGCAAAAATCTCTCTTAAAAAAAATAGTAAAATTGAAAGAAGATTCTTCAAAAACTCTTTTTCTTATATTTTTTTTAGGTTTTTGTCATAGAGTAAATGTGATTACCAGAGAAAGAGAAAGTGAGACATCACCCCAGGGCAGGATGGCCATGCCACAATCCCTTCCATTCTCTTCTCAGGATTTTAGGAATGCAAGCACATGCTCCCAGTGTAATTCAAGGCACCAGGTACAGGCTTCAAACTGTGGTCAGCCTCTAGGATCCTGGCACCTTAACCACACCACCTGCTGGTCCCCAAAAACTCTTTTTAAAAAAGGCAAGAAAGGGAGCTAACTCTGTGGCACAGAGGTAATACACTGCTAAAAGAATTCTGATCTCACATGGCAAATGTAATTCAATTTCCCAGCCTGGTAAGCCAGAAACACACAGGGCACATGCACAAGGGCTCAAGACCCGACGGGTTAGAGGACTGGAAGAAGAGAATCATGTTGTGACCAGATTATGTGGAGGATTCTCCTCTCTCTCTCTCTCTGTCTCTGTCTCTCATTCACTTGCAAGCAATCTAACATGAAAAAAAAAAAAAAGAAAAACTATTTTTGGAGAAATAGAAGCACCCCCAATAGGTCCTGATCACATCACAGCCCTTTTTCCATTCTCCATCCTATCATGATCCTGGGAACACACATGCATGCCCATCTCTCAGGATTTGGGGTGTGCATGTTTTTCGAGCCACTGGGTCTGGGACTTGAAGCATGCCATCGGCCATGTGGGACCTGGCTGCCTTAACCATTACACAACCTGGTTGCCCCAGAAGTTTCTGGTTTTGTTTTGTTTTTAAGAATATTTTATTTTATTTATTTTTAATCTGACCAGAAGAGACAGAGAGAGAGAAAGGCAAAGAAGGTGAGAAAGCAAGCTGCCAGGTTTGGACTCCAACCGTCATTGGCTATGTGGAAGTCCAATGCCTACACCACCACACAACCTGCCAGCCCAATATTCCAGGAGATTTTTAGTAGACTGTCAACACAAGTCCTTTATCTGATCTATGTTTTAAATTTTTTTCTAGTAGTCTGGTTCCATTTTTGTTTGCTTAGCCATGACTTTGAAAAGCAAAAGATTTCAATCTTGATAGAGCCATTATGTTTTCTTCTGTAATACTACTAGTTTCAGCTCTTGTATTTAAGTCAATGATTCATTTTAAGCTCATGGTTGTATATCAATATGATGTAAGGGTTTGAGTTAATTTTTGGAGATGGTACAAGGTATGAATTAAACTTTTTTTCCATATAAATATTCATTGTTCCAGGACCATTTACTGAAAAGGTTGTCTGCTTTGAGTTACTTGGCATGTTGGTCAAAATTATATGACCTTGGGACCAGCAGTTAGCATAATGGCTAAGTCGCTGAACTCCCATGTAGCTGACCGTGATTCGAGTCCTGAACCCGGTGGCTTAAACTCACGCCGGGCGCATGTGCATGAGTGCCCAAGATCCCAAAAGGAGAATGGAGAAGGGATTGCAGTGTGGCCCTCCCCCCTGGGGGGTGATTTCTCCTTTCTGTCTCTCTGTCTCTCTCTGTCTTTCTGGTGAGTGCAAGAGCCCTATAGCGAAAACCTCTCCTCCACCAAAAAAAAAAATTATATGACCTTATAAGTGAGTGTCTATCCCAGAATTTGTTAGTCAGTTCATTTGATTTGGAGCCTCTCCTTATGCACTGTCTTGACTACTGTAGTTTTATATTAGGTCTTACTAATTAACTAATTAAAGTCTTTCAACTTTATTCTTTTTCAGTTTTTTTTTTTGTCTATTTACTTTCTGTAGACATCTTTAAAACCTGCTGTTAATTTCTTCAGAAATATGTGTCTAGATTTATTTGGGATTACTGAATCTGTAGATCTGTTTGGAAAAAACTGCCTTGTTAGCCTTCCAATCCACGAACATGAACATGGATGATATATTAGTGCATATATTTAGTTTCGGTTTTAGATTTTTTTCAATATTTCATTGCCATGTCATACAGTTCTTTTCTGGATGGGAAATCACGTCTGTATGCTATGACAATGCTCATAAAAAATATCTGTTCCTGGGGCCAGCAGTTAGCGTAATGGCTATGTCACTGAACTCCCAGGTAGTCGACCGCGGTTCAAGTCCCAGACCCAGTGGCTTAAGCTCACGCTGGACACGTATGCATGCGTGTGTGCCCAAGATCCCAAGAGGAGAATTGAGAAGGGATTGCAGCATGGCCATCTCCCCTGGGGGGTGATTTCTCACTTTCTATCTCTCTGTCTCTGTCTTTCTGGCGAGTGCATGCACCCTATAGCAAAAAAACCTCTCCAACAACAACAACAAAAAATTATTCCTATATATTTTATTGTTTACTTAATGTGAATGGAGTTAAAACATTTTTCTCCTCTCCCAGAAGGGACAGCAATATGGTCATCTACTCTGGAGTTTGCTTCCTCTCCCTTTCTCCCACTCTGTCTCTCTCTGACAAGCACAGGTCCCCACCATGGCAAATTGGAAAAATAAGAAAAAAAACCTACAACACAATAAGATATATAATCTGATTTCTGTTTGTTTTTAAAAAAAACAGGGATAAAAGATTTAAATAGACATTTTACAAAAGAAAGTATATATATAGGTAATAAGCACATATGAAAATGCTTGATATTATTAGTCATTAGAAAAATGCAAATTAAATACACTGCTATACACCCAGTAGAAAGGCAAAAGTTAAAGAGAGTAACAATATCAAGTATTGGGAAGAATAAGAAGCAACTCAAAATTTCATATATTACAGGAATATAAAGTGGTACAATCACTTTGGAAACTGTAAGGTATTACATATAAACTGAAATATACATTTACCACAGAACCCAATCAATCCTCTTAGATATTTACCCAACAGAAAGAAAAATGTGTCCATATCAAAGAAAGTATAAATGTTCATAGCATTATTATAATAGCCAAAAACTGAAGCAAGTCAAGTCTCTATCAGATGGCAGATTAATGAATAAATGAACTATGATATACATACATACACACAAATCAATGCTGCCAACGAATGAACAGAAACAAAGCATCAGTATACATAACATAAAGCAATTTCAAAATAATATGCTATATCAGGATTAGGCAACGTTTTCTGTAAAGGGCCAGATAATGTTTTACACTTCCAAAACAGTCTGTCTGTCACAACTACTGAACTCTGCTCCTGGAGCAGCGAAGCATCCATAGACAATACTGAAGACACAGACGTGGCTGTATTCCAATTTAACTTCATTTTCAAAAACAGGTACAGAGCTGGATTTGACCCAAAGGCTGTAGTCTGCCGTTAGTGTGGTAAGCTAAAGAAGTGTCCTTCAAGGATGCAGAGTACATTTTTAAATTCTTTGTAAGCTTCAAAGCACTTAGTCTAAGGCTAAGGCTAAATACCAGTTCAAATGAGTGAAAAGAACCGAACACAATCAGATTAGGAAAAATTACCTGTGGATCTGATCTTGTCTGCTGGAGCGAACTGGAGCTAATCCATCTATTTCATCAAAAAATATTATAGAAGGTCTCATCAAATATGCCTAGTAAAAGGAAAATGAGTGTGGTTTATTGTATTAGTTTTCATTTTTTTAATTTGTCCTTTTTTTCAGTTTAATCATTTATTTATTCCATGAGCAGGACAGACAGAGAGAGAAGGAAAATCCCTAAGAAAGTCAGGATACCACTATCCACCCCAGCACCGGTCAGCCCCCGATCAGGGGCAAAGCTGCCAGCACACTCAGTGAGGTCTGCAAACTTGAACCGGAAACAGATCTAGCAGAAAACCCGTATTTGGTTTAGGGTGAATGAACATTAGGCCACAAGTGAAAAGACTTTATCTTGTCACTTATTCAAATTAATATTATTTCAAATTTACTTTAAAACAAATTCTTGGTAGACATGAAGATCAGCTTACAAAGAAATGGCTGTAAATGTTCTATTTCTCACTGAAAGATACAACATGCATTAAATTTCCAGTGTTTTCTAATATTTTTAAATACAGGACAATTAAAAGGACTACAGAATTTTGGTTTCAGGGGGAAAAAACTGAAAAAAACAGAATTACATAATAACAGAAAAAAGAATAAAGATTTGATCATTACTTTTTAATTTGCAAAAGGGTTTGTGCACTTGTCAGAGAGGGTGGGGGGAAGAAAAGTGAGAAAGCACCTCCCATAAGGAATGGTCACATCACAATCCCTTCTCCTCCATTTCTCTTTCATTTTGGGATTTGGGGCATACACAAATGTACACACACCCAGTGTGTTTTGAAGCCACTCTCCTGAGACTTGAACCAGTCAGCCACGTGGTATCTAGCCACCTTAAGCACTCTGACACAGGCTGGCCCGATAGTTATTTTTACATACATGAAGCAAAAAATAGGCATTTTTTACAACTACAGCCTCAAAGAAATGCAAAAGGGAAGTATATTATGTGGTAGTAACTGGCATGAGGGCTTCCTCTCGATGAAATCTCACAGTAGTTTAGTGAGCTAGGTATGTCCCTCATTATACAGAAGAGGGTACTGAACATCGGATGCTTTGATTTACTTAAAGTTATGAGCCAGATATGAACTAATACTTTTTTCTTATTTATTTAGGTTTTTTACCATAGGGTGTGTGTTCTTGCCAGAGAAAGACAAAAGAGAGACAGAGACAAGGAAAATAAGAAATCTCCCCCCTGGAGGGATAGCAAGCCATAATTCCTCCTCCTCCTCCATTCTCTTCTGGGGATTTTAGGTAGGCACGCACACACATCCAGTGTGATTTTCAACCCACCAGGTCCAGAACTCAAACCACCAGTGAGCCCCGTGGGAGTTCAGCATCTTAATCACCACACCACCTGCTGACTCATCAGGTGGCATGGTGGTTAAGGGTATTGGACTCCCACAGGGCCAACTGCAGTTTGAGTCCTGAACTTGAAGGCTTGCTTTCTCACTTTCCCTCTCTCTCTCTCTCTCTCTCTCTCGCTCACTCTCACGCTCGCTCTCTCGCTCTCTCTCTCACCCGCTCTGTTCCTCTCTGGACAAATTTTAAAAATAAATAAATAAATAAAGTTAAATAAAATAATTTTTAAAAAAAGGAAAGTCAACGTTTTAATTACTCCTACCTACCAAGAAAACTATGAAACATTGAAAGTAAATTAAGATAAAAGCAGCAGCATGATTTATGCCATAATTTTTTTAAGAGAGATTTTGCTACAGGGCATGTGCATTCCACGGACAGACAGAGAGACAGGAAGCAAGAAATCACCCCCAGCAGGGTGGTCAAGCCACAATTCCTTCTCCAGTTTCCTCTCAGGATTTTAGGCATGTACACACGAGACCAGTTTGAGTTTCAAATCACCAGGTCCAGGACTTGAACTGGTCAGTCATGTGGGAGTCCAGCAACGTGACCATTATGTCATCTGCTGGTCCCTTATCCCAGTTTTGGAAGAAACCAAGAGACATCCCTATCCCAACATAAACTGACCAAAAAAGTGTAACTGTCAAAAAAATTTAAATGAAGTCACTGGATACCATGAACATGCCAGCATTCCCAAGTCAATTTTTACCTCATCTATCAATGTTATTTTATTTTTCTATTTTATAATTAATATTAAATTCTCTTGGAGACTAGAATCACATTTTTTACATGCCAGTGGAGACTGAAAACCCTGAAGAATCTTACCTAGTCCTTATTTTTAAATCCATTATCTAGAACATAGCAGTTTTTGAAACTTTAGATAAGAATTTTAAAATAATATTTTAAGTACTTTACCAACTACAAAGGCCTTTCAAGCCCATCAACTCAGTAACAGATGTTCAATAAATGCTTGAAAAAAGCATTTTTTTTGTTTCATGTGTAACTTTCTCAGAAATAACTACACATAAGTTGCACTGCAAAATATGAACAGCTTCATTCATTGGCTCAAACAATTGAAAGTGAATTAATACTAAGGCTAATCTTTATAAGATTTACAAAATAGCCTCTTTTTTTTTTTAAACTTTTTGCCATAGAATGTGTGATCTCTCCAGAGAGAGAGAAAGTGAGAAATCAACCCCTACGGGGGACAGCCACACCACAATTCCCCTCTTCCATTCTCCTCTGGGGGTTCTGGGCACATAAGTTACTGCACTCGGCATAATTTTCCAGTTGCCAAGTCCAGGACTTGAACCACAGTCTGCCATGTGGGAATCCAGTGCCTTAACTGCCATGCCACCTGCTGGCATCAGGTAATAACATTTTAAAAATATTTATTAAACTTTATTTATTATAATTTCTTTATTTAACAGGAGAGAGACACAGAGAAAGAAAGGGAAAGTGAGAAAGCAAGCCGCCAGGTTCAGGAGTCAAACCATGGTCAGCTATGTGAGAGTCCAGCACCTCAATCACTACTCCACCTGCTGGCCCCAGGAAACAGCATTTTTAAAGGTCTGTTACATATAAATAGAAGCAAAACCCTACATAATATTCACTCACCTCAACATGCCTTTTAAAAGCATTGATTTATTTCTGAATTATTCCAGCACCATATTTACAACTCACGACCATAAATAACAACCTGGTTCGATAGATTTTTTTTATACAGATATCTAACTTTTAATACTTTTTCTATTTCCTCAACTGGATTATAATCTAACAATATATATTCTAGGTTCTCAAAATCACCTTCTGTGTTATGATATGCCTAGAAGCTATCTCAATAAATGTCTTCTGACTCATCATGTAATATTCAAAAGTACTAGTAAATCTGCTATTAAATAGCTCTAAAACATACAATTTCATGTTACTGACCCTAACTTTAGCATCCCTATTGGAAAATATGCCTCCTTACAAAAACTTTGTATGTATCCCCTAAATGTATTAAACATTCTAATAACAAACTCTCAAATTCACTGATTTTTCTTACCTGATCAAAAAGAAGCCTAAGTTGCCTTTCAGATTCACCAACCCATTTGCTCAAACAATCTGCTCCTTTTCGCATAAAAAAAGCCACCTTTTTGTCTCCTTGACTGCATTCATTAGCTAATGCTCGGGCGACCAAGGTTTTGCCTGTGCCAGGAGGGCCATAAAATAAACAGCCCCTACAGAAATAAAGAATCAAGAAAAACAATGTTACCACCACTAATAACCAACTTTAAAAAATGTCCTTCCTTGCCACATAATTTTGTATTGAGGTGTATTATCATTATTAGAGAATAATAAACCTTCTTCTGCTGTATAGACAAGTTCCACTTCGCTGAGTTCTCAAATCATCAACCTTTGAAAGGCAAGAAATGGTTAAAGTACAAAATAATTTGGCAAGATATAAAGATATGCCAAAATGTTAAATATATATCTCTATGATCCAGAAATTTCAAATATCAGGGTATATCCTACAGAAATACTAAAGGTAATGTATAAATATAGATATAAATAAGTATTCAACAGATATTATTACAGACATTAAAATTTTTTTAAATATATGCTAGTTAGTAAGTAAAGGACGGTTAGTTACACTTACCTATAAAATAAGGTATCAAAAATGTTAATACATTATTGGTATGGAAAGATGTCTAGAATACACTACACTGTACTGTAAAAAACCTCACAAATTTATAGATGGATATTACTGTAAAATCTCACTTGCATGAAATCTTTATAATGAAAAATACAGGTAAAATCTCAGTCCATGCATAAAGACACCTGTAAAGAATATACAAAACCGTTCATCTCTAATAAGTAAGGTTACCTTAGATATGAGGAGTTTCATAGTAATGATTTTTAAAATTCAAATTAAGTCAGATAACAAATACAATGTTATTTTGATTTCTGAAAGTCACTCCATTTTGCTAAACCCAACTTTTTAGTCTACTCAGATAGAACTCTTTCCTAAGATTTTCTACATCCTTATACAAAGAAAATAAGTTAGAACAAAATCTGAATGAAAAGTGTCTCCTCAATGAAAACAGACATCAGCTAAATCCAACAGTTTATAATGTAAACCTCAGAATATTTATTCTGCCCAATCTCCTTTAATTTAACTTTTCAACCTTTTGTAACAGTTCACTAGCAAACACCTCTTCATCAGACACAACGTGATCATAAAAATAAATTACTGGAGCCGGCAGGTGGTACAGAGGTTGAGACACTGGACTCCCCTCCCGCAGGGCCAGTCCTAGTCTGTGTCCCAGACCTGCACCCTGCTTTCTCACCGCTTTCCCGTTCTCTCTCTCTGGTCAATTTAAATAAATAAATAATTAATTAGTTAATTCAAAGTAATTAATTAATAATAAATTAAATCATTCCTTTTTAAAAATAAATAAGTAAACTACCAAACTTATCCTATTTCAAATACCACATCATCAATTCAAAGAAACACTTGAGTCAAATTGTGCTTCCAAGACTAAATAATAGATAGCATCAAATTTAAATTAAATTGTGTGACTAAGTGAATTCTTAAAGTTTACTTTTCAGTATTCAGGAGTAAGGCACAAGAGGAGATTCTTTATGCAGGCCGTAAGTATGCAACTGGATTGTGCAGATGTATTTTCCTGAATAGCATCAAATTTAAATTTGATGAATACTGAATACTGAAAAGTAAACTTTAAGAATTCACTTAGTCACACAATTTAATTCTTACCTGTCATTGCTAGAACACATCAAATAAATACACGGAACATTTATATTTATAGTCATTTACTAGTTAACCGATAACAGTAATAACAATAATAGACATCTAGGACATTACCTACCTTGGAGGCTGAATTTTAAATTTTTCAAAAATTTCTGGATACAAAAGTGGGAATACTACCATCTCCTTTAGTGCATGAATATGATGGCTCAATCCACCTATGCTATCAAACCGCACCTTGGAAAGAAGGGGAAATTTTTAATATAAAATAATTTCACATATTTCAAGGGTTTTTATGGAGAAATTTTTGCTATGAGGGCTCGTGCACTCACCAGGGAGAGAGAGACAGAAAGCAAGAAATCACACACACACACACACACACACACCCTGATGGGGGGTCGGGAGAGAATGACCACACTGAAATCCCTTCTCCTCTATTATGCTCTTGAGATTTTGGTGCCCGAAGTGAATTTCAAGCCCCAGGGCCTCGAGCTGCCATCGGCCACGTGGGAGTCCAGGGCTTAATCACAATACCACCTGCTATCCCCTTCCAAACAGAACTTTTAAAATTATGAAATAGTCTTATAATTCAGAAACACATACTTCCTATAGGATGTTTTGAAAATAAATAGAGAAATAAAAAGTTAGCAATAAAATTAAAGTTTATATTTCATTCCAGGGGAATGAAACCATCATTTTTGGGGGGTTTTTAAGAATCATTTTATTTAAATATATTTATTTATGTACTTAATTTTAATCTTACCAGAGAGAGACAGTGTAAGAGAGAAAAAGACAGAGAGAGAGTGAAAGAGAGTGAAAGTGAGAAAGCAAGCCACCAGGTCCAGGACTTGAACTACGGTTGGCCATGTGGGAACCCAGTGCCCTTAACCCACACGCTATCACCTGTCAGCCTTGAAATCATCATTCTTAATCTGGTAATTTAAGACTAGAATTAATGCCCAGCCTAAAATTTTAATGAGGAGGCCAGAAGATGACTGAGATAATATGAAATGGTATGTGAAGAAATTCCACATGGGAAGATTCCAAGTTCAAGTCCAGAGACCTCCCAGAGTATGCTGGGAACTCACCTTGCCATGATTCAAGGCAGGCTAAAAGTGTCTGGATCTATTGGTACCCTTCTGAGGGTGCTATGTGTCTGTCTGTCTTTCTCTCCCTTACAGAAGAGTTAGATAAATAAACTTTAAAAAATATTTTTTAAAGAAAGTAAACAAAACTTTAATGGGTAAACACTGAAGATAATTACTACACTATAACCATGTAAATGCCTTTTAAAGTGCCATATATGGGGACCAGCAGATGGTGTGATGGTTATATCACTGGACTCCCAGGTAGGCAACCATGGTTTGAGTCCCGGACCTGGTAGCTTAAAACTCAAGCTGGGTACATGTGTGTGTATGCCCAAGATCCCAAGAGAATAAAGAAGAAGGAACTGCGGCGTGGCCATCTCCCCTGGGGCATGATTTCTCACTTTCTGTCTCTCTCCATCTCTCCAGCGAGTGCACACACACTATAGAAAAAAAACTTTGTAAAAAAAAACTCATATATGACATGAATTCTCAACAGGAACAATAACCTCCTCAAAAAGACAAAAATTGATTCGGATATAGGAAAAAGAAATCCTAGCTATGATAATGGAGTGCTCAACCTTACCTGACAAAAAAAAAAAGTTATACTTTAAGATTTCCAGTTAGGAGGATATTTGTTTAATTTTTCTCTTTAGGGGGCAAGGAAAAAATAGATATTTTTCACAAGTAGCAACAAAGAATGTTCTCCTATCCATAACAGTTAAATACTTAAAAGACTCTGTTAAAAAAATAAACAAACAGTATATAGAAAAAAATACATGAAAGAAAGTTTGCCAAAATATTAACAAAGATTATTCCGACCCCGGATTATGGTAGATTTCTTTCCCTGATTGTCTATTCTGTTACAGCACTTAAAAATGTTTCACAGTGAATGTTACTATAATAGAAAGAACTTAGTTATTTTAATTGACTGGCATAGACATCTAAAGTTAACTAGATTAAAGGTAATTTGTTTGGGGGTCAGCAGGTGACACAGTGGCTAAGGTGCTGGACTCCTACATGGCCAACTGTGGTTAAAGGCCAATTGCAGTTTGAGTCCCTGACCTACAGGCTCAAAACTCACACCAGGCACATGTGCGTACATGGGCAAAATTCTGAGTGAAGAATGGAATTCTTCTTGTGGTGTGGCCACCCCCCAGAAGGGGTAATTTCTCTCTTTATCTGTCTCTTTCTTCCCAGTGAGCATACACATCCTATAGCAAAACTTTCCCCACCCCCAAAAAAAGTTTAATTTGCTTCATTTAGGAATAGTAAACAGAACGAAAAAAGACTATAGAGCCAGCAGGTGGCTTGGTGGTTAGGATGCTGGACTCTCATATGACTGACTGTGGTTCAAGTCCTAAACCTGAAAGCTTGCTTTCTCACTTTCCCTGTCTCTTAGTCTCTCACCAGTCAAATTAAAAAAATAATAGTAATAAAGAAAGAATTAAATAATCATTTTTAAGGTAAAGAAAAAAGATTGTTAGGCAAGGTCCTCTTGGCAAATGTACTATTAAAAATGGGGCCTGGACATATTCAAAACGGAAATTTCCTTAGGCTTGCATTAATAAAATAATTACTTTCCTCTATGACGTCAGATTGGAGATAATAAAAGTTTCATTTTCATATATGCAACTCTATTTGATAACTTCTTTTAATGAGAGTAAGTTATGTTGCACAGAAAGATTTACAGGAATAAGGAAAAACATATCAAGTAAGTTCTTTGTTATGCAGTAATCTTACTCCAAAGTATCCCCTAAGTAAGGTACTACTAACAGTGAGAAAAGTCTACTACAGCCCTGATCTTGCTTCTCATTTCATACCACATGCTGACCTTGGTATTATCATCTATTATCCAAGGTGACCTCAACAACCTTTATACTGACCCATATTTGAATTTCTAGCCTACATATTTCACCTTAATATCCAACCTAGATTACCAATAGCCTAAAAAGTAACTTCCATTTTATGGTACACAGAGATATTTAGTATAATCTTATCTTCCCACCTTAAACACTTATTTCTCCTCTATGTTCTATAGCTCAGACAATGGAGCCAACCATTTTCCATCTAGTCCATCCACTATTCGCCTAGTTCTGAAACCAGAAACCTGGGGAGCACTTTCAACTTGTTTCTCTCCCTCATTCCCCAAAAACAATTAATTCACCAAATTCTGTCATATCTGAGCTCAATGCTCAATTCTCTCAAATTCACCTAATTCGATTTATCATTACCTTACTTTCCACCATGACCTTTACTCCAGCAAAGTCCAAACCAGTCTCACTAATGCCAGCCTTGCTTCCCTGATTTATTAACTACATCACAGCCAGAGTTTTCTACCTAAAATGCAAATCAGATCATGAAAATAAGCCAATTTTTTTATCATGGTTTTATGGGCTCTTGCCTCCCATAATCTCCTCAGCCTCATATATACCTGACGTATATTCTAATAATACTGAAACGGAAAAACCTGCCTAACCGTCACATGTGACCAGTGTTCTTAGCTTCTACCTCGTGCTCATTAATATATCAATATTGGTCCTAACTGAATTTTCTACTTTTATTATTGGTGGCTATAGACACAAGGGAAAAATTAATTTTGAAACAAAAACATTTACAAAACTTACCGATTTATCAATGTTCATCGGATCAACATCAGCCAAGCTTGCACCCACTTTCACTCGTTCTCGGAGAATACCACTAGCTAAGTCTTCTGCTCTGAAGTTCATAGGCAAACATCTGAAATTTACAAAAATCCAATTAAATATTTAACATCAAAATAAATTTAAGGAGCCAGCAGATGGCATGGTGATTAATGTACTGGATTCTCACATGGCCAACTGGGGTTCGAGTCCTAGCCCTGGTGGATTTCTCACTTTCCCTTCTCTCTCTCTCTCTCTTTCTGGTCAAATTAAAATATAAATAATAATAATAAAATTTTTAAAGAAATAAATAAACTTAAGCCTTCAACACATTTTCATCTTTCTTCTTTCTCTCACAACTCAGAAAATAACATCAAAAAATTTCATACTTTTTAACTATTTTCCTAATTCTTCTCAACAGGCCAAAAGTAAAGTTATTCAGTAGATAAAGCAAACAAGACCATTAATTTATTTGCCCAGAGAGTCTAATCTATTCAAATTTAGAAAAATGTCATATCATACTGAATTCCTATGCTCTAGAACTGTACACTAAAAATAGATCTATATGGGCCCAGCAGGTGGCATGGTAGTTAAAGGCACTGGATTCTCACGTGGCTGACCACAGCTCTAGTTCCAGGCCTGGTGGCTTGCTTTTTCACTTTTCCTTTCTCTTTCTCTGTCTCTCTGTTCAAATGGAAAAAATAATAATAATAACAAATGGAATTGAATAAATAAATCATTCTTTAAATAAATATGTATACGCGCGTGCGTGTGTGTGTGTGTGTGTGTGTGTGTGTGTGTGTACTATAACGTATGGCATTCAAATCAAATCAAGTTTGGGGTCAGCAGGTGGCGGATGGTCACAGCACTGGACTCCCCCAGAGCCGACCATGGCTCGAAATCCTAACCTGGCAACTTGAAAATCACGCTGGGCACATGTGCATGGATGCCCAAAATTCCATTAGGAGAATGGAAGAGAAAGGATGGCTGAGTGGTCATCCTCCACCCACAAGAGGTGATTTCTTACTTTCTCTCTCTCTCTCTCCAGTGAGCACACCCACCCTATAGCAAAAACCTTAAAAACAAACAAAAAAAAAAAAAAAAGAAAGAAAGAAAGAAAAAGAAATCAAGTTTTATTAAAATACCAGTATTTATCCTCAGGTGTTATTGGATAGATACTCAGTTTATAAAATAAATTTCTTTCCCTTTTGCTCAAAGAAAGACAATTCTAGACTGTATCTTGAGAGTTGAGTCTTATCGTTTGTACAACTATTTTACAAAAAGATCTGCCACTACCTAAAATCGTTGTTTTTGTTTTGTTTTTTTAAAAGAGATGATTTGTTGCTATAGGGTGCGTGTGCTAGTCGGAAAGACAGAGACAGAGAGGCAGAAAGTGAGAAGTCACCCCCAGGGGTATGGCCGCGCTGCAATCCCTTCTCCTCCGTTCTCCTCTCGGGATGTTGGACACACAGGCACTCACACACAGCATGAATTTTAAGCCACCAGGTGCTGGACTTGAATCACAGTTGACTATGGGAGTTCAGCGACGTAACCATTACTCCCTCTGCTGGTTCCTACCTAAAATCTTATATTATCTAATTGTATTATCTCCTCAATAATCTACTTCCTCTTTCAACCTTGGGTAAGCACCAAAAGATGACATAAACAGCCTCAAGAAAGTATAGCTTCTACAATGAATGAAACTTCACTGATATTTCTGAATCATAACTTAAATATTTATTCTCAAAGTAAACTATCAGAACAATTCAGATTAAATAGGCATTAAATTCTTCTATTTGAACTTAAGAGTTTTTTCATATATATTCTTTCCATCATCCACATGAATTTATTTTTACCATATAATTTACACCAATCCAAACTTGTTTCTGAGACCTAACTTAAAAAGTTGGTATTTCTACAATAAACAATGCCAAATTAAAAAAAAAAAAAAAAAGCTTTTCTGAATGTAAATTTTCTAAATTTAAGTACAAGTTAGAAAAATAATTCAATTTTGGGACCAACAGTTGGCGTAATGGCTATGTCGCTGAACTCTCATGTAGTCAACAGCGGTTTGAATCTCAGCCCCGGTGGCTTAAACTCATGCCAGGCGCATGTGCGTGCATGCCCAAGATCCCGAGAAAATAATGGAGGAGAAGGGATTGCGGCATGGCCATCACTCCTGGAGGGTGATTTCTCACTTTCTGTCTCTCTGTCTCTTTCTGTCTTTCTGGCAAGCACATGCACCCTATGGCAAAAAAAAAAAAAACAACCTCTCAGCAAAAAAGAAAAACAATTCAATTCTAAAAACTATAATTTGACACTTCAATTATTTACTAGACTACAGATTCTCTATCCCAGTGAAAATTTTTCAAGATTTTAGTGAACTATGTAGTAATTGGTCATTTACTCTACTTAGGTAAAGACCATCAAAGGCACCCATTCAGTCAAGAACAACAAAATAAATTTTTTCAGTAAAATACCAAGAGCTACTGAGATAATTCTATTAAAAATCAAATCTTACTCTAAATGATAAGTCACAGAAGCACATCAAATCAGCCTCACTGGGACCAGCAGATGGCATAATGGATATGTTGCTGGACTCCCATGGAGTCGACCATAGTTAGATTTCTGGTCCAGGCAGCTCAAAACTCACGCTGGCTTATGTGCGTGCGTGCCCAACATCCCGAGAGGAGAATGGAGGAGAAGGGATTAGGTATGGCTATCCCTCCTGGGGAGAGATTCCTCACTTTCTGTCTCTCTGTCTCTCCAGCAAGCACATGCGCTTTATAGTAAAAATCTCTCTTAAAAAGAAAAATTTAAAAATCAGCCTCATTAAATGGATCTGGACTAGAGGGGAGGTACAGATGAAGACAGATGCTGCCTTACAAGTTGAACTCTTCCCCTTGGCTCTTTCCTGTAGCTCTCCACACGTTATTTCATTATGATTAAGTACAGACTAAGCAGTTTATAGAAAATTTCTCAAGGCTAGATTTCTACTCAAGGCTAAATCTCTCAAGTCTTGGTTTCTGTTATACTAATTACTAAAGTATAACAGAAACCAAATGAATGCAGTATTCTAGTAGAAAATGTGTTGAATATCACTGTTAGTAAAAAGCCAGGAAAGATAAGCTAAAGGGAGAAGGGTGCTGGTGAGTGGGAGAGGCTCCGGAGAAAAAGCATTTAACACACAAGAGTGCACGAAAGAATTAGGTTATATGGAGCAGTATACCATAACAGAGTAAAACAAAGGGATGTCACTTTTAGAACAAAAATCTAAAGTAGAGGCCAGCAGGTGGCATGGTGGTTACGGGTGCTGGACTCCCACATGGCCAACCACAGTTCCAGTCCCAAACCTGGCAGCTCACTTTCTCTCTCTCCCACTCCCCCCTCTCTCCCTCACTCCCTCCCTCTCTCCTTCCGTCCCCCTCCCTCCTTTCCTCCCTCCCTCCCTGATCAAATTAAAAGACATACAAACATACATAGTAAATAAAGTTCAATTTAAAAATTTTTAAATAAAAAAAAACTAAGGCATACAACATAATGAATATGGTAATATCTTTGATTTAATTATTGAACACTGCACACATGCTTTAAAAAATCATATTGTACTCCACAAAAGTATACAAGAATTAAATGCAAATGTGAAATTTTAAATGAATAAATAAATAAAAATTTAAGAAAATGAACTCATTCGAACACAATAACTGTTCTTGTCTTTGTCTATCAAAGAAATAACACTGGTGGGACCAACAGTTAGCATAATGGCTATGTCGCTGGACTCCCACATAGTCGACCATGGTTCGCGTCCTGGACTTGGTGGCTTAAAACTCACGCCGGTCGCGTGAGCGTGCATACCCAAGATCCCGAGAGGAGAATGGAGGAGAGGGGATTGTGGTGTGGCCATCTCCCCTGGGGGGTGATTTCTCGCTTTCTGTCTCTCTGTCTCTCTGTCTCTGTCTGTCTGGCGAGCGCACAAAAAAAAAAAAAAAAAAAAAAAAAAAAAATCTTAAAAAAAAAAAATAAAGAAATAACAGTGGCTTAGTGTAGCTGAGTCCCATGTGGCCGTCACACAGTTCAAATCCAAGCAACTTGAGAAACATGCTGAACATGTGCATGCCCAAAATCCTTAGAAGAAAATGCAGGTGGGATTGTGGTACAGCCAATCCCCACTGATGGGTATTTTCTCACTTTCCCTTTCTCTCTCGTCTCTCTCTGAAGAGAGCACATACCTTCTAGCAAATTAAAAAAAAAAAGAAAAAAATAGCATTTAAAATTTTACTATGGACCAAATACTGGCATGGTGGTTAAGGCAGTTGGATCTCATATGGTTGACTGTGCAGTTTGAGTCTCAGACTGGGCAGCTTGAAAAAGACACCAGGTGTGGGGCCAGCAGTTGGCGTAATGGCTATGTCGCTGGACTCCCAACTAGTCGACCGCGGTTTGAGTCCCGGACCCAGTGGCTTAAACTCACGCTGGGCACGTGTGTGTGCATACCCAAGATCCCAAGAAGAGAATGGAGAAGAAGGGATTGCGGCATGGCCATGCCCCCTGGGGGGTGATTTCTTGGGGGGTGATTTCTCGCTTTCTGTCTCTCTGTCTCTGTCTTTCTGGCAAGCGCACGCACCCTACAGCTAAAACCTCTCCAAAAAAAAAACACAAACCACTAGGTGTGTGCATAAGCGTGTGCCCAAAATCCTGAAGGGAGAAATGGAGAGGGTGGACTGGAGCATGGCCATCCCCCATGAAGGGTACTTTCTCATTTTCCTTTTCTCTCTCCCTCTCTGTCTCTGACTCTCCCCAGTAAGTGGATGTACCCTCTAGCAAACTTAAAATAGTAAGTAAAAATTTACTAACCTATTTCTTGCTCTTGCCATGCTCTTCGACTTCCTTCTTTCAAAGCGTTCTTCATCAGAAGAAGTTGTGTCACTACTATGAATAGCATGCTTCTTCCTCCTGTTTAAAGAGAATAAAATCCTTAAAACCACTGTATTAACAAACAGCCTTTAAAAACACACTGTAAGCCCCAATTCTACAGTTAGCTTAGTAGAAAATTCTTTTAGCAAATAATTAAGATCTTTGTGCTTCTACAGTTTACATTTAATGCTGTATAAAGGTAGTAAGTTCTCCAAAGAAAAATTTTAAAAAGGAGAAAGTTAGAAATGCTACAATTTTGGGGGTCAGCAGGTGTCATGGTGATTAAGGGAACTGGACTCCCACATGGCTGATGGCAATTCGAGTCCGAGACCTGGTGGCTTGCTTTCGCTTTCTCTTTCTCTCTCTCTCTCTCTCTTTCTCTGGTCAAATTTAATTAAGTAAATAAAGTTAAATAAAGTAGTTCTTTTAAAAAAATAGAAAGGCCACAATTTTTAAAACAGGGTAGTTCAGGAAGGCATCCAAGCAATAAATTTAATCTGCAACCAAATGTAGCCATTATCTGTCATAAATAATGTTAGAATCTTCAAAAAGGAAGCTTGCTTTTTTCTTTATTTGATCTTTCCCAAATACTCAGAAACAGTCAGACATTTAAAGAACTAAAGAAAAAAAATATGCTGATTTACTTATTTCTTTAAAAATTTCTTTAGGGACCAGCAGGTATAGTGGTTAAGGTGCTAGACTCCCTCCCACATGGCCGAACACAGTTCAAGTCCCGGACTTGGTGACTTGCTTCTCATTTTCTCTTTCTCTCTCCTCTCTCTCTAATGAGTGTACATGCCCTATAGCAAATTTTAAAAATAAACTAAATTAATCATTGAAAATTTTTCTTTAAAAATTCTTAAGAATGTCTTTAAAAATAAATAATACATGTTTAAAAAGAGAGGAAATAGTTTATAACCAGAACTACTTTAGAGGGTCAGCCCCATGACCTAGCAGTTAAGGGAGCCAGATCCCACATGGCTTACCATGTGGTTTAAATCACAGACCCAGGGACTTGAAAAACACACCATGTGTGCGCAGGTGCACATACACTCTCTAAATTCCAACAGGATGGAGAGATGGGCAAGGGATTGCAGCATGACCACACACTACTGGGAGGGGCTTTCTCCTCCCTCTCTGCGTTTCTCTGATGAGGGCATGTACCCTCTGGCAAAAGAAAAAAAAAAAGACTGTAATTAGATAATAAGATAGGCCAGTCTGTGGCATGGTTAAGGCTGCTGGATCCCACAGGCTGACTGCATGGTTCAAGTACGGGACCTAGTGGCTTGAGAAATATGCCAGGCCTTACGTGTGCACGCTCAAGATCCTGGAGTTACGTGTGCATGCTCAAAAGGAAGGAAAAATGGAGAAGGAATTGTGGCATGACCATTCCCCATATGGGATGCTATCTCACTTTCCCTCTCTGTCTTTTCCCAACAAGGGCATACACACTCTAGCAATTTTTTTTAAAATTATATATCATCCCCAAGGGGATATAATATTTAATGAATGTTAGATTATTAATAAATAATATCACTAAGGCACTTATAAAATAATGTAAATACCATCTCAACATTCCCAAATTGAAGTTTATCATGCCCAAGACAAATTCTTCCTTTAAATTGTTTAGTCAACACTTCTACCAGCTAATACTTTGGCGGGGGAAAAAAAAAACACCTCAAACTTATCCTGCCCTTCCCTCCACATCATCATTGCCAATACATCCTTTCCATACTCCATATAGATATCCCTGACTCCCTCTTTTTCTTCACTGCTACCAAGGCTTGACTTACTATCTCCATGGTCCTTTAACCACCTCACCTCTGCGCCACTAAAAATATCATTTCACATGAGCTTATCTTGGATCTTGTTATTATCACGTGAACTGCTCTCTACTTCTGCAACTTAAAATTTAATTAACTCCTAACCCCAAAACAAAATACAGGATTCCTAAAGATTACCAAGGTCATGAAAAACAAGGCAATACTGGTAAATGTGTTTCCCTGGCTTCTGTGAGCTGCTCTCACAAATTAATTGACTCCTAGAAGGGGGTAGCTGATTATTATTATTATTTTTTCAATCTTACCAGACAGAGAAAGAAAAGGAGAGTGAGAAAGCAAGTCGTTAGGTCTAGGACTCATACCAGTCGGCTGTGTGGGAGGAGTCCAGCACCTTAACTACCATGCTACCTGCTGCCCCAAGAAGATCACTGTTAAAGCTATAAGTATTCTAGGCAACTGTGAACCAGGAAGACAATAGTCATATGTGGGATGAAATAAAGAAGTAGTTAGCCTCTCTCCTGTTAAAGTAAAAAAAAGTTACCTGATATGACTTCTTCTTGCTGGAGATCTGTGAATATCGAACAGTGTGTTTTCCCTCTTTTTTTGATGAGCTGGTACTAAAAAAAAATTAAAAATAAAAATAACACAGAAATAACTAATATTAAATTGGTAAATTAATATATCAAAGGAGCAGACATTACTTCTATTAACTTTTTGAGCTGAACTCTTTTTAAGTTTCAAATGCTGTCTAGGAGTGAAACAAAAATTAAAAACTGCATATAAACATTCTAAACAGATGTTAACTTAAATCCCTATGACATTGAGTTACACAAAGATTTCTTATATACAATAACAAAAGCATAATCCATTTTTTTTTAGTTTTTATTTTTTTTTATACTTTGTTTTTTATTATAAATTTTTTTCTCATCACAACACACATATGAATTTTCCATCCAAAATACACTGTGCATTGGCTCAATCAAGCACATCAACATATATGTTCTCGGCAAATGATTTCCCAATTTTTGTGTCCTGCATACCTTGCCTTTTGTTTTGCCATCCTAGGTTCCCCATCCCCACCCTCTGCCATGTCCCATCTTCCTCCTCCATTGTCCCTGACATTCATGATTGCCCTCAATGGCTTCCGCCCCCCCC